AATATACAGATCGGAACAACAATAAAACACCACAATGCACGAGTACATAAAAACGATATCAGATGGGAAAAACAACAAAGCAGAGCAGCGTTTACCCCTGTCAAATTTCTACTGCTGCAAACAAGTCTTCCAGATTTCCTGTTCAGTAGAGCTGCCACGTCTTTACCAGGAAGCATTTTCTGTTGGCAGATATCACACATTCTCTCAGAAGCTACTCGCTGCTGTTTCCTCAACTCTCTCCTCATTGTTTTGCTGGATATAATTCTTGAACCCACTAGTTGATCATCACGTGTTCCCAATATCAGTCTCATATTTGAGCTATTTGTTGATTGAGATTCTTCCCCAGAAGAATCACACTGATTACTCAAAGACTCACTGATATCCTCCGGGTCCGAAAATGACTTCCTCCTCCTCTTGTTTCCAGCACCAATGGTTATGGTCTCCTCAGATTCCGAATAAGGACTGGAGGGGAGCAAAAATCTGTCATCAAGTAACGCCTTCCTACCCAAATTATAGTTATAAGGAAATGTAACAACCGCAAAGTCATGATCTGGCACCACAGAGACATCGATATCATCAGAATCATTTTTTCCCAACCATTCACACCATATTTTACGAATGCTTTTAGAGTCAATGTCATGCACAGTAAGCCGCACAGCAATTTGTCCAATACCAATAAGATTCACTTCTAGATCAGATAATTCATCTTTACACAACACACCCGGAATAACCAAGTTATCACTCTGTCCATTACCAGTCAACTCACAGTACTCATCCTCGAGATCAGGTACATCCCCATTAGGTCTCGAATTTCCACCATACTCAACAATAGCAAGGCTACTTTCATCTACAAGACAAGTGTCAGCCAGCCTGCTTTGACCAACATTCGCGATAGGCAAGTGCTGCTTATCATGCTCCGGATCCTTAAAGAAAAGCACACCATCATTGAACGGCCATGGATTCGGCTTCAACAATGTGGCTTTAGCAGCTGCGACCATTTCAGTATGAAGACTACCTTTCAGATGATTAAACAGGACAGAATCACTATAACACGGCGAATGACATAGCGTGCAGAAAAAGACTAATCTCTTCCCATCTTCTCTAAGCTCAATATACGTATGTCCTTGAGACCTCACATTATTCAAAGTTCTCCTCACTAATTGCTCTTTCAAGTTACAACCACTCGTCTTGGGGAAACCTAGTTGTCTACCCGCCATAAGATTCAAATATCACATATACCAAACAAACGGCTAAATTTTCCGAACTTTCACATGAAATACAACAATAGAAACACAAATTTTCTCGAATTTGACAGAATTATCAAGCAGGAAATTCAAAATTCGGTAATTCCGAACCAACAATTGCCACAATGTTCCGAACTTAGCAACTTCGCGAGCACGAAATTCACAATACCGTGGTAAAATCCCACATCAATTCTTTAAAATTCGGCTTCAGGAAGTAAAAACAAGACAAGTAAAGAGTAAATTTGACCAAACCTTACAGAAGATTTAACAAACCCTAAATTTACAACTTCGAGGCGTGCACGGTATTATAGGTATCTTCGTCAATTTCCGAACTATTCGATTTTTAGCAGCGGCGGATATTCCAGAAGAAAACTCAAAAAGCGACGAAATCGAACACGAATCCTCCATTGTCATTTGCATCTCCATTAAAAAACTTCGTAACAGAAAATTAAACGAACACTAAAAAGAAAAACGAAGAACCAACAGAATAGAGACTAATAACTAGAAATCAGAATTCAAGAAGAAGAAACAGAGATTGCATAGGTGAATATATGGGCAGTAAAGAAAATATTATGTATGTATAGGTAGAGAGAGAAAATTGGAAGGAGGGAAGGTTCTAGAGAGAGAGAAAGATAGAGGAGGGAATTGAAAGTTGAAACAGACTGTTTTAACTAAATTTTGGTGAATATCTGTATTATTACCGTAAGAAGGACACTAAGATAATGAAGCGTGTCAATCGTATGCAACTCTGGTGCATAGTTACGGTATATTACAGCTGTTAGAGTCGTGGATAATGAACTAGTTTTTGATTGATGATAATAACGGTCAGGATTTCGAGGAGTAGGTATCGGATTTAAATGTACTGTGTAGTTGGGTTCGGTAGCGGAAGGAAGATTCTTGGTATAAGCCGATAAGCATGGGAAATAATTTCAAAAGCTTTTCTTTTCCTTTTTTCTTCTTTTCTTCGAATTTCAATCTTGGTCCCTCATTTGTTGAAAAGTTCTGATTTTGGTCCTTTTAATATCTGGGTATCTGGCCAAGCATTTTAAACTTTTAATTTAATTTGAATGTGTGTTTTAGGGGTCAAATGGTTTTGTAGGTTATTGCAAACTTATTTTTAATTTTATGGCTCCATCTCTTTTTTGCAAATGAGAGATTTGCTTTTAGATCTATCTTTTACACATAAGAAATCTAAGAAAGATATTTACATATAAGAAATCTAAAAAAGACACTTTCTTAATTTCAACATTATAAAAAGCCATAAAGGCCCATTTTCTCGTATTTTAGGTCCCTTTATATAAAAGGTATTTGATATATAAATTAATTTTAAAGTTATACTAAGCTCAAATTAGAGCAAAACTACAGTGCATTAGTAATTTAAATTGTTTAGTACTTAATAATTCGTTAAATTTATAAAAATTAACAAACACAGCGATAAAAATGCATATATCAATTAATGAAATGTAAATTGTGATTGTAAAAAAATTACGAGGATTAAAATCAAAATTTTTAATATTTGAAGGACTACAAATGCAAATTTCTCTTCTTTCAGTTACAGTATGTCTTTTGTCGTGAGGCGGGGGTGAAGCTAATTAACAATTTCATACGTAATTTAATTGCCAACTGGCTGAATCTCGTGTTAGTTTTATACTCGAGGTCGACTATAGATGTTAGGAAATGCACATGGGCATTTTCGTACTTAATTTGAAAGAGTAATACTAATCACAATAATTTTAGTCATGGGGTCGGTTGTTTGGTTAATGATTTATGCAATTAACTTTGCGTGTTTTTTTTTTTTTTATATTTGCAGTCATACCCTAGATTTATGTCATCTTTTAATCTGTACCCTATTTTTAAAAACTATTAATTTGGTAGCCAGTTGACAAAAAATTCGTTATATGACCATTATACCGCTAACAAAACATATAAAAGATGCATCACGCATAAATCACTTTACGGTTCTCCTCTATCACTCCGTCTCTCCTCAGATCTCCTCTCGCAAACCAGAAATTTGAACCAGATTCAAATTCCAAATTCAAAATTACAAAATACATAGTAAGTATTGCAATTCATCTTCAGAATTCAAATTAGTTTTTGAAACTGATTGATCTTCATGATATATGTTTATATAATTATTTTCGTAATTCACACTTGCATGAAGTTGTTTGACAGATGAAACATGAACTTTTCACTGATAGATTTCACTGACGAATGAATTTACATTCTAAATTTGTTTCACGTTGAATTCTAAAGTCAAGCAATAGATTCTTCATGTTAAACCTAATTTAACGTCAAAGCTAAAAATTCAAATATGCTGAAGTTTTGTAATGCATAACATGCTGAAGTTTTTGGTTTATTTGCTAAACAAACTGAGCTTTTACATAATTTGCTAAAACTTCACACCAAAAATGCTGAAGTATTTGTCTTGCAGTCTAAACAAGCTGAAGTTTTTTAGTTCATTTGCTAAGACTTCAGCACTAAAATATGCTGAAGTTATGTCCTGCGTTCAATAGTTTTGTCATGAGCTTTTTCCGAAAACTTTAGCACTAAAATGCTGAAGTTATTTAGTTCATTTGTAAAAACTTCACGACAAACGTGCTGAAGTTTTCCTCCTGCACTATGTAATTTTCTAGTGAATTTTATTTAATGCATGCTGAAGTTAAATTTAGTTCATTTGCTGAAAATTCATACCAAAACGTGCTTAAGTTTTGTCCTGCATTTGTCACGATCCCGCTTCGCCCTCCATGAACCATCGTGACGGCACCTAGTCTCTTCGACTAGGTAAGCCTAAATTGCGAAAAAGAAATCAAAATTTGCGTAAAGTAAAACAATTTAAAACGGAAATAAACAGTGTTTAAATGTGCCGCTCAGCATACACCATATCTAACTCTCAAAACCAATATATAAATCCAAGACCCGGAAACCAATGAATCACAAGCTAAGAAGTACTACATAGCTCTAACTCCAGAATGTCTAACAAGAATTGAAAATACAGAAGGTCAATACTAAACAGCAAGAATAGAAAGAGACTCCTCGGTCTGCGGACGCGGCAGATATACCTCGAGTCGATATAACAGTCGCCTCGCCTCAGGGGTGGTAGGACTAAGTCGAAGTACCTGGATTTGCACATGAGAAACATGCGCGGAAGGGTATGAGTACACCACAGCGGTACTCAGTAAGTGCCAAGCCTAACCTCGGTTGGGTAGTGACGAGGAAGGTCAGGGCCCTACTGAGGTTAAATAAGATATAAGGTTTAACAGTGTGAAATAAGCAGTGTAAATAAGTAACACGGGCTATGAAGGACAGCAACAACTATTACAGAGGCAAGTAAAACACAGAAAGAGAATACAACTCAGCTCCAAAATAACAACCGGGGATCTCCCAGGATACCGTCCTATAGCCCCCAAATATAAATATCATATCCAATGGATTTCCCGGGTGCAGTCCCGTAGTCCAACTCGTAAATGCGCGGGAATCTACCGGGTGCAATCCCGTAGTTCCAATGTAAAAGTACAGGGGGATCTCCTGGAATGCAATTCCGTAGTCCCAAAATAAACATACAGGGGAGCTCCCGGGTTACCGTCCCGTAGTACCAAAGTAAATACACAACAGCAACAAGAACTCAATTCAATTAATTTCATATCAAGGTGAAGCAGGTAATCCTAACCTAGCATGTTTCACGTAATACAAATAAGGCAGTTAAGGCAAATAGAGAAATTTAGTCAAGTAGACATGCTTCTCTAGGCTAACAGCAGGCTTAATTTCCAAACGGTATAAGCAAGAAAAGGAAGAACACAATTCAAGGCTATTTTAAATGAATAACCGAATTTTTCAACAATTAGCACAAGTACGCGCTCGTCACCTCACATACAAGGCATTTCAATTATCATAATATCAATCCTAAGGGGAAAGGTCCCCCACACAAGGTTAGACAAGCCAGTTACCTCGAACCGGCTCAAATGTCAACCTGAAACCACGTTCTTGCCATGAGTATCCGACTCCAAATGGCCCAAATCTATTCAATTAAATTTCATAATGTAAATAACACTTCAAGTAACTGATTCTACAATTAAATTCGTAGCTAATACGAGAAATTAGGTAAAATGACCAAAATGCCCCTCGGGCCCACGTCTCGGAATCGGGTGAAATTTATATTTCCAAAATCCTCACACTCTCACGAGTTCATATATACCAAGAACACCAAAATCGGAGTCCAAATGACCCCTCAAATTCTTATTTCAAGTCTCTTAAATCCTAAGCCCTAATTCTTGCATTTTAGGCCTAGTTTCCATGATTTACAAGGTAGATTTCACATTAGAAACGAGTTTTAAGATCAAGAATCTTACCTCCAAGTGATTCCCTTCGAATCCCTCTTCAATCCCCTCCAAGGAGCTCCAAAAATGATTAAAATGGTGAAAATAAACTTCAAAGTCGCGGAACCCGTTTTAAAACCATTCTGCCCAGCAGTTTCCGCATATGCGGCCTTGGGACCGCTTCTGCGGTCCCGCATTTACGGACCAAAGGTCGCACCTGCGACCCATCACTTAACGCCCAGCTTCCGCATCTGCGGCTCCCCACCCGCAGGTGCGGTACCGCTTCTGCGGAAAAACATACCGCATCTGTGGTTCCTGATGACTCCCCCTCTTTCTGCTTCTGCGGCCCTTTTTCCGCACGTGCGGCATCGCACCTGCGGTCCCCAAACCGCAGGTGCGGAAATACCAGAAGCAGCAAAGTTCAGCAGCTGCAATATACCTCAAAACTCCCCTCAACCATCCGAAATCATCCCGAGGCCCCCGGGACCACAACCAAAGGCACCGACAAGTCTAATACCACTGTCCAAACTTGTATCAATCCTTAAAACACCTAAAACAACATCGAAACCTCAAATTAACCATGGATTCAAGCTTAAGAACTCCAAATTTCTCAAAATACGCTTTCGATCAAAAAGTCTATCAAATCTCGTCCGAATGACCTGAAATTTTGCACACACGTCACATTCAACACTACGAAGCTATTCCAACTTTCGGAATTTGTCACGACCCCAACCCCGGTCGCGATGGCGCCCAACACACTGCTAGGCAAGCCCGACCGATTTAATAACCTTAACCATTTTTATCCAGTTCATGAATCAATTAACATAGATAAATTACTAAGTCATAATACTGAAATTCTGAAATGGAGTTAAAACATGCGGAAATCCCAAATATCAATACTACTACATAGCCCGAAGAATCCGGTGTCACGAGTCTGAGCCTCTAATACATGAGTATCAACCTACTACATTTCGTTCTAAAGAAATGCGGAAATAAAGCAATAAGATAGAAGGGAAGATCAGGACTGCGGACGTCATGCAGCTACCTTGATACTCCCGGATATGCTACTTGGCAGAGAAGTCCTCACTCAGCCTCAGATGTACCTGGATATGCACGCAAGGTGCAGGGAGTAATGTGAGTACTCCGACCCGGTGAGTAATAAACATAAATAAAGGCTGAGAATAAGAAATCCTGAATAGGCACAAAGTAGTTCTATAAATACAGTAATTTACCAAGTAGTATAAAGTCAATAAACCAATAAAACAATTATGGAAATACTACAACAGATAAGTAAGTAAATGAAAGTCAAATATGAAATGCAACACATAGTCCGGTACTCTCTAGTACCCTTGCGGCGTGCAGCCTGCTCCAT